AGAGAAATATATTTTGGTACTCATATATTTGCATTAGATCACATTTGTGTTCTTTGCATACCATTTTTTTCTTTTTGTGGGGAAGAGTTTTTTCTAGAATTTGATTATTAGCATCAAAGAATTGGATATTCATGAGTTAGAAATTCACGAGTGCCCTACTTGAAAAATGCAAAATCTAAAAAATAATACCATTTTGATTAAATTTAAGTTCATGAGTATTCTATTCTACTTGATCACAAGTTTGTAGTGAAAAGTTTAGAGAGAAAACTTAATAGCACATACAAGGCACATTAAAAAAGAAGAAGAAGAAGAAGAAGAAGAAAAAGAAGCTAACCCATAAAAGAGTTCATTAATTTTTACTTCAATGTTTCTAGTTGCTTAGTAACTGGAGATTAAGCATGAGACCCATGTTAGCTTTTACGTTAAACAAGAACTTAAAATATGAGTATGTAAAGTATTGTGAGTTTATGACTTGTTGAGTAACAAAGTGTTTTCATCACAAATGTTAAGATTCGTATAAAAAAATGTTAAGATTGGCGTCAAAAGACAAATGATAGTTTTGGAAAAAAAGGTGTTATATGGCTTAAAAAAAAAAAAGTCAAATGTTTCGTGGCCTTTGTTAGTTCAATAAATATGTTTTTAGAAGTGTCTTTTCACCTAATACTCTAAAGCCAACTTGTTTAGGGGTTATTGGCCGAAAACTCATTACATGGCAACTTAGAAAGTGTTGAGGAATGAATTTGTACTACTTTAAAAATGGCGGTATGTGTGGCTCCACATCAGCAAGGATCCACGTGGCATATCTTCTCTGCAATAGCCATGCTCAGCTCTATCCATGTCAAAGCACCATAGTTAACAATATCAAATCTTTTAGTTGGTGTGTTGCTCTAGCCGTGGTTGAATCTACCTCTGTCGAAGTTTTATCAACAACATTAACTTTCTTGGCTAAAGTTTCGCTCTAGCTGTGTTGAATTATTCATAACACATCTACTTCGACCAGATGGTTCACATGATTTATCTCTACTTCAGACATGCTACTATATTATATTTTCTGTTGATAGCCGCAATGGAGTTAGCATCACTAGGAGTAGCATCTGCCCACTTCGCTAGGAGTGATACAAACATGTTCCACTTCAGCAGCATTCTTTTATACATGGCTATATACGGTTACATTTATCTTCACAACATAGTTGGACGTTTTTTACGATCATAATCTCTGGTGCTATGTTTACCACTACAACCGGCTCCTAATAATAGATCAAGAGCCTATCTTTGCTCCTAGTAATAGATAAAGAGCCTATCTTTGCTATGCGGCTCCCATCAATTGACAATAGGCTACATCTACATAGCTTCCAACGATAGACAAAGAGTCAGATTCGCTATCTAATTTAGCCTCCAGCAATGGGCAAAAAGCTACGTATTTCTACATATCTTAATTACACTGACTCCCTGCAATGGACAAAGGGTCAAATCTCTATACGTTTTATCTCATTGACTCCCAAAAATGGACAAAGAGTCAGCACAACTTGACACGATTAGTGTGAGGCCAATAATAGTTGTAACCCTACGATTGGATGGAATGGCTACCCTCCAACGATAAAAATCCATCAAGTAGCGGCAGACGGTTCCTTAGCGGTCACCCATGCATAGTGGTGCGGTGCCAAGCAAGCAACAACAACTAGGACCACCCTCTAGCGATGCAAGTACGGTAAGAAGGGCCAACACTTGTTAGTGGTATCACAGCTTGTCATATTGGAGGCCATGGATGCAGCTGGCATCCCCGTTCTATGAAGACAACTCCATCTCTCTCTATCACATATTCATCGCTATGGCGGAGTTTGGTTTGATGAGATTTACCCCTTCACGACTTGGTGGATTAGTGGGAGTGCTCTTCTGATTCCACATAGTTCATGCTCTAGCCATGGACAAAGTTAATCGCTATTGTTCCTCTAGCTATGGGAAAGCCATTCGTGGCTGACCTTGTGACACTCATATTGCATGGTTGATAGTCATGCACATCATTATCCTTTTATACAAAAGGACAAAATTACTGATCGTTGATAATCCAACTCGTAACTTACTCTTTCCATATTTCATGTGTTTGTAGGTATCGCCAACCAGCAATACTTGACTCGAGAAAACGATATCACAACACACAACAATATTGCTTATTCTCCATCTTGGCATAATGTCAACCATTCGCAATAATAGCATACAAATGTTCGCCATCGCCACAGAATAAAGGAGTGAAGCCCTGGTCATCTTTGTTATCTCCCTCCATACACAAGGGAGTATCCTTTTTCGCTGTACACATTCATACATCTTATACTTGAAAACAAATATTCACTAATATTCTGCCTTCGCTGTATATATGCACAAACTCATGAATCTAGGCTCATGGGAAATATTTGGGATAAACTTTGGTAGCAGTGGCTTGGTAGGGATGAATGGGTGAACATTGCCTATCTGGTGAAGCAGGATATTTGTGCCAATGAAGCTTAGCACTGATGATGTTGCCTCGTTTCGCCAGGAAAGTCTAAGTGGCGAAGATATGAGAGTGAACCTGATTCCCAAAACAGTTCTTTTTTATATTAACCAAGAGCTTGAAATCTTGTGAGAAATCAACCAAAGATGCCATCTTAGTCCCCATCAACAGTCAATCGCCATATTTAATGCAAAAGTGGCTACACAAATTACGTTGTGTTAGAAAGTGCTCGGAAATATTACTATTTACTTAAGGATCTTCCAATAATCCTACACAGACCTTGGGAACTTTACCAAGATCCTGTGTAGATGTTGTTTTGCCGACTGCACTCAAGTAGTTTTCCAGAAATAGGAGTTTCGTGTGGCTAGATAGTTACCAAAAATGGGCAATCTTCAACAAATTAGGGGTACTTCGTTGGGACCAATGGTGCTTCATTATAACCAATGGTGCTTCACCAGAATCATTGGGTAATTAATGATATCACTATTGGACAGCTGCCACCAGTATCCAAAACCACTTAAAGCTTAACAACTCACATAAATCTATCTATTAGGTCACTGTACACTCTTCACCTGTCAACCCAAAAATTACAAAAATGCCGCACACACACGCACGCACGCACATGCACGCACACACGCACGCACACACGCACGCACGCACATGCACGCGCACACACACACACACACACACACATTAAAAAAGAAGAGAGACAAGATTTTTGGGGAACATAACTCCGTCTTCCTCCTCAGGACGTCCAGACCTTGATCTTCCACATAGCAGCTCCTTCATCCTTATCTCAGTATCACACTCACACCCAACGGCTCCAGAATCATTTTTCAGCTTCACACTTTCTAAGTCTCTAGTATTGTCAAACACCTCTAGATTCGTAGAATATCATGGCTGGAAAATGGCACAACGCAGCTTTTGTTCCTAGGTTGCTTTCTTGAGCATTAGATGGTCAAGTTGAGAAGTTTGCATTAGAATGGAATCAAGTCACCCTCTTGCAAGCCCCCAAACGGCCATCCTTCCTTCTCCCATTATTACTCTCAAGTTTAGCCTTTGAGAAAAGTTTTGAAAAGAGAATTATTGTGTTTTGTAATTATGAGGATCATCCAATATGAAGTAAAAGGATTTCCTAGGGATCGTAGAGAGTGCATTCATTGTCATTATTTTGATGTCATGATTGTATAAGTGTAAATGCACCTCTCAAGTTATGATGTTCAAACTTCAAAGATGTTTTATTTCTAGTGCTCCTACCATAATGCACTCCTTCGCTGTGTACTTTTGATAATTGTGTAATCACTCTTGACTACAAGTATCCTACTGTCCTCAGCTAGCCCTCTTCCTTCTTCTCATGGCTTGGCCAAAGAAACTACATCATTGGACTTGGCTGGAGAGTTCGGCACCAACTGCATTGCTAGGCAGATTGAAACAGCCCGTGGCACGTAGCATTCTATACATGAAACGGGTGTTGCCAAAAGAATCCTCCTCACCTTTCTTGGGTGTCATCCTAGTCAGCTTCCACATCATTATCAGCGCTAACTCATCAACCCAAATCATCAGCGCACCCCAATAAAAAGTTTAAGGGAACTTGACGCAAAAAAGAAATAACAATAATAAGTGTTAAAGTGTGAAGGTTTAATTTCAAAATTTTCTCATTATGAATTTCCACATACACACATTAAGTCCTCATGAGTTAAATCTTTTAACAAGTGGTGTGACGAATATGATGGAGTTTTTAACGTTAAGTGAGTGTATGAAAGCTTTTAAATATTTAAGATTTTGTATCTAAGTAAATTTTAATTCTTATATTTTCTTCGCATGCATATCATGTAGTTGCATTTTTGCATTGGGATTTTGTGGATAGATCCACTAAAATTTCTCACGAGACACAACTTATCTACTAAGGTGACTTAGGGATAAAAAGGCTTATTGTACATACTAAGTGCAATTATGATTTCTATCAAAGTGAGTTAGGTTTTATTTTTGTCTTTTTGTTTTACTCGAGAACTAGCAAAACTTAAGTTTAGGGGAATTTGATGAGAAGCATTTTATATGCTTTAATATATTATATTAGCCTTGATTTTATTACTATTTACAAGGATCATATATGATTTTCAATAAATTTTCCATAGTTTTCATTTTGTGTAGAAAAAGACTTGAATGCATAATAATATAAGTTTTGACATTAATTGAATATCTTTTGAAAGTTGAAAGATTGAATTGTGAGAAGAAAGGTTCCTTTTGTGACCTAAATAAATGAATCTTAAGTTATGGGATCAAATGCTCATTATATTAACGCTGGAGGACCATTGTAGAAATTACTAAAAGGGGAAGAAACCCGACACAGATATAGTGTCCACACATACTTCGTGGTGTCAACATGAAAGGCGTCTATCTTCTATTTTGTCCCCAGTGCTACTCCTTTTTCAATGGAGTTTTTTCAACCTTATAAATACTCATTTAAAAATAAGATTTAATCATTTAAGGCAAAAAAATGGTTAAGAGGAGCTTAATATTAAAAAAAATTGAAATTTTATCTCATTAAATTAATTTTATTGTTTTTAATTTTTATTTTATGATTTTAGATATTCTCATATTCAATATGAAACTTTTAATTGTTTTAATTATAAATTAATTTAACCATTTAAAACTATACTGTAATATGATTAATTTAATATAAAATTTCATAATTTTTATATTATTAAAGTTTTTTTATTTTATATAAAATATTTATTATTGTTTTGAATACATTTTAATAATTAAGAACCATTAAAATTAACTTAGAGAATATAATCAAGATTTAAAAAAATATTTTATGCAATAATTACTAATAATATGTATCACAAATTGAACAAATACGAATGTGACT